CTAATAGAGTGGCTTATCTCTCTTGTTAACGACAAGATTGGTTAATTCAACTGTTTCTAAAGAGCCCTGGCTCTTCAGGAATGAACTGAAACAAGGTGAGATCATGACTGCTGCTTAACACACCAAACCACACTGCATCTTCTAATTGTAAGCAAACAAAACAACCAAACAAAACCTAGTAATCTGGCTAACTGGGATAGAGGACTAATAACAATTAAGGTTTGAATTACGATTCTTGTAATCCATGGCTGAAGTAAAGGAGGAGATATATTTTAAAATACAGCATTTTAACTCCTAAAGATAATGAGAAAATGAAATGAGGCCTGCTCGAGTGGTCTTGTTAACAATGCAGGTACCAGTGGGATCTCCCCAGCTCTTTTTTCATGACCTGAAGGCAATAATAACAATGTAACTTTAGGAAAGGCCTTCTAAACATCTTATGTATTTAACATTGGGGATAATTATTTTTTATCAGGATTCAATATCTGAAGACTGAATACAAACCCCATACCTTTGCTAGGCTGCTTTGCTAGAACCCTGTCAGGCTCTACAGGCTGTTCAACAACTTTTATTTTAAAATTCAGCAATAAAATGTTTTACTTCTTAGATAATCAGCCTACAGTAGCATTGCAGTTTCATGTCATTTAGGACACCGCAAATCGCAAATCGAGTTTGAGCAAGGTATTGTGAAACTTGGTTGTGGATCATTGCTGCCAGCTACTGTCTGAAATACATGGAAATGATCACCTTTCCAGGTATTAAATTGTAATTAAAAAAGAATGTGCTGAGACACAGGAAATGCTCTTCGGCAATTTCAAGTCCTAAAAAATAAATCACACCTGAAGGAGGCTCCGCAGCCAAAAAGTTGTGTTTCTTTTCTTCTCTTTGCAGCATGGAATAAACCTTTATTTGCTCATAAAAAAAAAATCAATGTTTAAATTGGGTTGAGTAAACAAATGATGTGGGAAGGAAAAAGAGTCATATGAATCATATGCTTCATTTACTTAAAATACAAATTTAACAAAGCAGGGAAAATAAAATTCCCCAGTGACTATACTATATGTATATTAAAGTGTGGAAGGACTGAAAGTCATTATCAAAACAGAATCGCCAATTTCCCATAGAACGTGAATCTTTAGTGATTCCAGATGGATAAAGTCATAGCTTTAAGTGATCTAATCTCAGTGCTTATTACAAAATATAAGAAAACCTTTTCATAAAATAATAGAACAACGAAAAGAAAGCTTTGCATAAATAGAACCTTTGCGCTAAACATACTGCACACTTTTAGATTCTTAATTCCTTATGTACGCCTGCATGACTCTCATTGCAGTGAGTCACATTTTATTCTAAGAGAAGTGCTTTTATTTATCATTAAGTCCTTGAAAGTGGCAGTTGGCCAATGAGATCAAAGCCATTGTAATAGATTAAGGCATGCAAAATGAATTTCACATTCACATTCATTTTCAATCCTGACTAATCATTGCTCCACTAAAGCAGTCTTTGTACAGGAACCTTGAAAATACTTTGTGTTCTTTGCACAACCATTTTTTTTTTGAGAATTCATTCTAATGCCATACCGCCTCCTTAGTTGCAGTAAAATTAATTAAAAATCTGGTTCTTTGCGGCTGGTGAAGAAAAGAATAAGGGGTTAGTGACTCAGTACACAGGGAGAAGCTCAACTAATTTGGCGTAGGCACTCATAACTACTGTGGCAAGTTTTCAGGACAAAATCACGGTTCTGATCAAATTAAAAGAAAACACACTGTTTACTGCTTGTAATAGGAACAAAAATGGTCTTTATGATTAATGCATATTTTTAAGAAGTGTCCATGTTTCAAGACAACACAATCCTGTGTGTCAAAGCACTGACAAAGTAACCTGCTTAGTTAAAAAATACAAACACTTTTCAGGAATGATTAAGCCTTCTGTAGAGATTGGCTCTATTTGTCTTTTACTTTTAATTAAACCAGAAAAACTATCAACTTACTCAAGTGCATCTTAGCCAGATTATTGAACTGGTATCAGATGTCCTTGTCCACTATGTTCAATGAAACTAATGAGCAAGCAAATGCTTTTTTTAAATTGGAGATTAAAACTCAGTGCTGAGAAACGTAAACTAAGACGAGCATTTCTCTGAGTAAATTTGTATCTTGTTTGGGCTTGTAAGTATATGATTAGACTTAAGAGTAGGATTAGGTGTAAGAATGCATAGATGCATAAATGGTTAAAGAATTCCAGGAGAATTTCCAATGTTTATCATTGCTGTAGAATTATGTTCTAATTTCTACTTGTATCCCTATTTCTCCCAAATCACAGTTAAGTTACATAAAAATCCTTAGGTGCAGGTTGCATAAATTCTAGTGCAAAGCCACCAAAAGTAATTGAAGTCATTGATACAGTGGATAAAATATGTTACATATAATTGAAGTTTATCGAAACAGAAAAACACTTTGTCCTTAACTGAATACGTACGTGAAGGAACCTTACTATTAGCCCAGAGGGTGAAACTAGAGACAGTGAATTGCTATAATTTAGACTTCCTGATTAGAATTTCATCACCTGGAACTTTGTAAATTGTTGCTCAATCCTTAGTGTCTTGAGAAAGGATCAAAGTGTAATTTCCCTTAAATAACACAAGAAACATATAGTTATTTTGGGGTACTATGAGTACTGTACTTTGCATACTTATCTCCATTGTACCAATAAAATAAAAAGGCCGTGGTCTAAATTTTATTCCAGTCCAAAGTTTACTCCATTTTCTTTTTCAATCATAAAACAAAGTCTGTTAATATATAAACAAAAGGGTATATACTGTATATTTAGGGCAATGTTAGCATTGCTACAGTACCTTGCATCTCTAGGGCCCTGGTTTCTATTCCTGGGGTGTTATCCACATGGAGTTGAAACATTTTCTCCATGTTCGTGTGGGTTTCCTCCAGGTGTTCCAGTTTCTTCTGACAGTCCAAAGACAGACTGCTAGGTTAATTGGCTTCTGGGAAATTGGGCCCTGGTATGAGTGTGTGTGCATTTCTGTCTCTGTGTCTTGATTGACCCATTGCTTGCTGGGATACACTACGGCTTCTCTCTGAACACGTACTGAATAAGGTGGTAAGAAAATGAATGGATGGCATGTATTTAGAAAAAGCTCGGAAATGGCAATTTGACGTATATTTTCAAATGATTTGTTTAAACATACATAGATATGAAAAACAGAAATTCTGAATAATGAAAAGTTTGGCTAATGCATTTTAAAACATTACTTTTCATTTCCACTACTGAATTTGTTTTGAACATTGCCACCTTTATTGTAACAATTATAACAATGCAATTGTAGACGCTGCATATACACGTAAGTATAATAAAGATTAAAAACACTGTGCTTTTAAGGTCTCTGCAAGGAATAAACCTTCATGACAGTGATGGGAAACCCTAAGGACACTGGATGAAGGTCTTAGGTACCTTGACATACACATATCTAAGTGGCCAGAAGGAACCAGAACCAGAAAACAAAGTCTATAATTTCAAATATAAAAAACAAACAACTTTTGCTAAATGTCACAAATAAGGTTGAGTGTTTTACGGTCCTATACGATATTCTAGACCTCACAGAAAGATAGTGCTCTCTTTAAATAGAGTAGGTGTCTCTTTCTAAAGTAAATACTTTAAGTGCCCTTGTACTTTTGCCATGCAAAAAGTATAGGATTTAGATGATTAAATTGCCCCCCCCCAGGTATTAAAAATGTAACACTTACATGTACACTAATGCCACCTGCTGGATATCTAATGACTCGTAATGTGTCAAAGTTGCAGACGTTTGTTTAGAGGGCTGCAGACTTTACTGCTTCGACAAAGATTTGTGTCAGTTTAACAGTCTCATTAATCTGAATTCTGGCACATCTGTTAATAATGGGTGTTAGCTGTGATGAAGTGGGCAAATATTGGTTCTCCATTCACTTGTTTATTTTTTATAGGAACAGAGTGTTTTGGAAAAAGATGTGGAAACAATGAATTGCATTAGGAGGCCTACATGTGTATTAAAGTTTAGTACCGACGAACTCTGGTCCAAGGCTTTTTTCTTATTACCATGTGCCAAATGCATAACATGGAAAGTCTTGTAATAAAGAACATAACACAGCTTGGCAACCCTAGGAAGTTAACACATAATTTAATAAAGCTTAGAAAGACGAGATGTCTGTCTATTTGTTCTTGCCTGTATTAAATGATCTGTACCATAATCTCAGTGATTTTGAAGTAATATTTTTCAATGACAGGTTAGCTTGTTCTATGAGTTCTATGTGTTTGTTACAAGAGAGGGAAAATATTTAATTTCATAAGTTTTCTCCTACCTTTTAAGCATCTTTCAACCTACTTTTCCAGTCAATATTATGCTTCTACATGGTGCTTATTGTCAAAAGTAAGATATAACCTTAATAGGTTTACTGCTAGTGTAAAAATAAAAACAAACTTCTTTGTGTTATGTCTTAAAACACTCACATCTATTTTAATAATATACCTTTTTTATTTCATTGACAAAATAAGATTACAGTAGACCACATGAACACTGTGGATTTGTGCCTCATTCAACAGTAATAAATATGTTTTTTAAAAATCAAATTACATTTTTATTTTTATGACACAGTTATTTTCCAATTCATTATCAGATATTAGACACTGCTTATACTTCCAGAGAAGTTAGTAATGTAATAAAAAGATTCCTGGGCAGCATCCAGTAATTCAGCCTATAAATAATGTTTCAAAGTTTCTTCCAAAACTTTTCTTTGATGCCACATTAAAGTGAAAATCGGAAAGAAATAACACAGAACAAGAAGTTAAATTTGGGGAAATCCCCCTGGAAAAAACTATTTTCATTTATAAAACAGTTGCTTAAGTGACATGAAGTGACATCTTGGAAAAGAAAGCAGTAATACTGCCTGGTTTAAGTCACAGTACCAAATCATTGCCTTCTTTCAATGAACAGCACCATGTTTTCATTTGAAAGAGCTGGACTGCAGTTCATTTACAGCAATACTTGTCGTTGCAAATAATGACATATTGCCTTTGGATTGTGTTATTTAACATCTGGCAACCAAATGTCCAGTACTCCTTATATTTGAGCCAACACAACTACAGAAGCCAGATGTGCCTGTAAGCACAGACCCTGCGCCATGAAATCGATGCTCCTGCTGTGGGTTTTGACATGCATGGCTGTGGTGTCTGGTCAGCCCAACTACATCCCCGATGAAGACTGGGTCAACATGTATAGACAGGGCTTCAACTTCCAGTGCCCCCACGGGGAAGTCGTCGTGGCCATCAGGAGTTACTTCAGCAAAGAGGAGGGTTCGGACAGGCTTTGGACCTTTGAGTGCCAGCCTACCCCGGTTGGAATGGGAGAGCCCACTGAGTGCTGGTGGGACGACATCAACCGAGCTGGAATGGAATGGTAAGGCAGTTGACCTCTCTTGAATGTGAACTCCGGGAGAAATGTAAGTAAAACATACGGTAGTAAGATTCTAGATCTTTGCTGGACATCCTTGATTGTGTAAAATCCAGGTATGTTTTTTTAATCATTATGAACACTTTAAGATATAGATTGGTGAAAGAAAATCAATCATTTCAATTGAAGGTAAATTCACACATGAAGGGATAAGGGGTTTAGAGTGATCCCTGTACTGGATGTACAGTGCCCATGTTTTGTAAATAGTAATTATGTTGTGCTGTAATTGCTCTGGGGTGGAGGCATAAACAACTTCTGAACGAGCAGCTTTTCTAAATGTGGGTTAGTGATAGCAATCAATATTTAAAAGACCAGACGCAACATAAGCGCCTTGTTTATTTGAGACAAATCCAGAGGAGAATCAGAGGATGAAGTTTATGAGGGCTTGATAAGCATAGTGTGTGAATAAAAATTTATCTCCAAATAAATTTATAAACGTATTTAGATTTGCCTGTAACCTTTATTTTTCACTGATTTTTTTTTTGTTATTGTAGTAATGTTCCTCAGAAAATTTGCGTTCCCTCCAGTCCTGTTGGGCTTTCATGATTAGGCAACGTTAAAAAAAATGACATGTATTTGGAGTGGAGTGTAAATTATGCAATTCTGTAAGTTTAAAAGAATTTTAAAAAACCCAGCTCTCGACATTTATAGTACAGGTATATTCATGAAATGGTATTTAATGAAAATACCTATATAAGGTCTAGTTAGACTTTCAGAAGGCGTTTGATTAAGTTTCTCATAATAAAATCATTTAAAAATGCAGGCAGGAGGTATTTAAGATAATACATGTATTTGGAATAAGAATTGATTAAAGGCCATGAAGAAGAAGGTACAGTAAGGAGTAAATGCTCACATGTAATTAGTAGATAACTACAGGGTTCTATATTGGCACCATACCTCTTTCTAACTTATGTCAGTGATCTATTTTCTGGTATACACTATAGGATGCAAACTGGTCTAGTTCACAGATGATACCAAGGAGGATTAACAAACCCTGAGTCTTAGTCTGTTTTATTTATATACACAGTATAAACAAATTTAAATTTCTCTTAACAGGAAAAGCACATTGCAAAGTGTGCTTCATGCAGGTTGGAAAAATAAAAACTATAAAAGTAAAATAAACACCAAGCTTACAGAGGACAGTTATAAGAAAGTCTTAAGTGTTTATCCAGGCACATTATTTTTATCTTCCAAGAAATTTACTTCCAAGCAGTAAAAGGCAAAAGAATGGAATTTTAAGATATACAGTTAAATGTGTAGAATTTAAATTAAGGGGAGATAGCTGTATAATGAATTTGTAAGATCTCATTTAGAATATTGTCTATGATTGTCTATTTTGGTGATCAAGATGCAAAAAAAATATTGCTGCTCTGGAATCAGACCAACCAGAGATATGCCTGAACTCATAGGAATTCCTACCAAGATGGGTGAAAAGTCTGCCGTTTTATTGTTAGACAGAGAAGACTGAGACAGATTCAAGTAGTTGAAGTTCTTAAAAGCATTGACAAAGTCAGTCCTATGGACTTCTTCAGAGTAAACATTGAAACACAAACAAAGAGGATAGAAGTAGAAACTATATTGGAGTGGATTTAACATATACATAGAATACAGAACGAGTTGCCCAACCACTATCAGTGCAGATAATCTGGCATCCATCAAGAAATGTCTTGATAAAATTTTTATATTAATTAGCTGATGAAAAAGGAGCAAAATGCATCTTCTAATTTGAAATTGTTCTTTGATTAATGTATGTAATTGCCTGTGCATTTATATGTAAAATACTACATATTGAATTTTATAGACCTCTTTTATAGCATTAACTTACAAAACAGATATAATTAGGGGATTTTATTTGTTGTTTTAAATAGTAAACTGTAAAACTGAACTTGGCTAACCTGTGGTTTTACAGACTAGCCAGGCACAGCCCCATTGACGCTATTAATGGCATATAAAAATCATTTTCTTCTTTTGGTATTTTAGGTGATTTACAGTATATAGGATCACTAGAAATAGAAACAAAGCCCTAAAACTACAAGCCAGTTTTATTTATATAAACAGTATAAACAAATTTACATTTCTCACGACGGAGAATATTGTTACAGCAGAGGAACTAAGGAGTTTATTCCAAATCCCACTATTGTCTATACAGACATTAGTTAATCAAAATGTTTTATTTAATGAGTTTTATAGTTTTATACTTCTATTTTATAGTTGAATATAGACTGAATAAAAATTTCAGCATAAGCTGGTTTATTTATGTTCACTGGTTTACAGGACTGATTATTTCATTTATCAATGCAGACTTTTGTGTATTATAAAGCCAAATAAAACAACTGAATAAAATTAAAATTCTCAGTAACAGATAAGTACCACAGATGTTTTAACAATCTGCCAATGTAAACATTAGTCAAAGGAGTTGCATAAACACTTTTTTCTTCATCTTTAAATCCATTGAATCATGTTTCCGAACACAGATAATATTTCTAAGTTAGATTTTTAGACACAGCAGCTGTGTTCAAAATCTGTTGCTCTGCAATTCCCTTAGCCTCAACATTCCCTGATAAAGTCTTTTCTCCAGTGTGGAGGAGGTTCCTAGGAACAAAGTTTTATCTAGAGAAAAACTAAACCCTGACCGTTATCGTCTGTAGAATTCCAGTACCAGTACCATAAGGATAACAGTTTTTTAGCTAAATTAATTTTACTTTAAAATTGTTGGGCTGCTTATACTAGGAGTTCCAGCATGTCTGAAGCATGTAGGGAAAGTAATAGGAATGAAATTGTATGTGGACATCCCTCGGGAACGAGCTAAATATGGAAATTCACAACATAATATTTTTCCATGTGGTTCTACAACATCGATGTGAACAACCGAAAAAACAAATCATTTGTTTTCATGAAGGCATACTGTATAAAAGATGTGTTGAAGCTTCCTGAGACCTAAATTGTGTCTCCTTTCAGCATCTCTTTAGCAGCCAAACACTGGCTGTAAACACTTGAAGCTGTCTGAAGCCTCAATTAGCCAGGTCTGCTGTTGCTGTCAGCAATACACCAGATTAATAATCAAACATGGGATAGTATTACTAGTATTATTTCTATGATTCTGTATGGCAGAAGTTCATTAAATAAAAATTAAGTGTGTTAATAATAGGAATGTTGAAGTGTGTTAATAGGAATAGTTGAAACACTTTTAATGTCCATGGAACTGGTACATTTAAGGTTAGCTTGTTGAGTTAGTCTGGTCTCATTATTATTCTATACATTTTACCTTTTTGCATCTATATTTGTATTCATCTGTGGTAACCAAACTGTATGATTTACTGGAAATAAGATGCAGTGTGACAATGTTGTGTACTGCAGTCATATCCAGCCAGATTTGAAAGAATTACCGTATCTACACTGGATTCTTTATCAGAATATTTAGCAAACATTTACACAGAGGGAGGAAGTGTAAGTTTTATAACGTTCATGACTCCATGTCACTAAGAAGATGGAGGATCCCTAACAAACTTTAGATTTCGTGAGCAAGAAGCTTCAATGGTTTTGAACTCAAGTACTGCTGTTATCAATGCAGTCATTAGTTTCTTATCGGATTTAAGATTAAAGATGGACTGTGCCATCCCACTGGAGCTGCCAAATCTGGATATTGCATTCCTTTAAGATAACATTCATTGACATTAATCCACAAGTGAATGTTTATTACTGCCTTGAAAAACTATGATATGCATAAGCAAAGCTGAATTTGATCTTTTCACCATGTTTGAAAAGTTTTAGTCGAGCAATGTAAACTTTAAGATTTAACCTGTTAAGTTGTATTACAGAAACAGTAACAAATCACCTTTGTATAGCAATCTTTTTACCTTGAACTTTCTTCTTCTCAGTCCACAGCTGTAGGTTTACAACCTTTTTTTCCCCCTGGGCATCCATGTACAGTAATCTGTAATACTTTAGCCAATTAATCTTTTAGCCTATTTCTCAAATGAGCCCTCAGTGTTGGAAAATCACAGACCTCATTCAAATGTTGGAGTAGGTCCAATGATATTTTTTTAAAAATAGAATATTGCGAAGTGATAAATTGCTAGTACGTACTGCTCTCTCTCTGTCCGATACAAAGCAATTGCAGTCTCAGAATCACAGACACCTTGGAACACATCAGCTTCAAGACATTATTACTGACAACCTGAATGAGAAGTAGCTGTTCAATAAGCACAAGGCTGCACAGAGAGTTTGTCTGAAAATGTTAATGCTCAATCACAAGACCTAGACATGTTTGTTCAGAATTAGTTTCCACTTAGAAAAAAATGGTAACACTTTACAATAAGTCTCTGTATTTTTAATTTGGAGCAATCTATGATTTACTATCGTGTTAATTTGAAGTGCATTTTAAGTGATTATGTATTTATGGTTTGTTCATGTGACTTCCACTATGCTGCATGAAAACCACTAGGTCTTAAAAGCAATTCAATGAACTCTGATTAATAAATTATTAATTTAAGACAGTAAAACTATTTTAGCAGACTGACGTGCAAAAATAAGTAAAGATATTTAATAGTGTAACAGCATGGAAAATGTAAGAAGAAACTCTTAGTTTGAGGGAAAACAGAAATTGTGAATTGATATATGGGTCAAGACCAAAGCAACACAGGCTGTATTTATTGCTCAAGGGTCATCCTTTAATTCTGTCACTGTATTCATGGGATGACAACATTCACAGTTCTATCATAAGCAGTTGCAGAAAGGGGAAAATAATTGAGAAAAACAGTGAGAGAATATGATCATTTCCCCACCATTGCAACATTTGAATTCAGGAAGATGTTCACTTTAGAGGCCTGCTCGCAGAACCACCAGTCCTTTGCTTAACGATATGACTCATGGCAGCTTTAATCCATCAGCCTGTGACATGTTAGTGTTCTGTTAAGCTAAAAGGCTGGCTTGTCAGGACAAGTGCACAACATTCAAACTGGTTCAAACCTGGTTTACATCTCAGAAAATTGTATATTCAGTATACTGTTCGTTTACTGTAGTCACAATAGTTTGACGTGCTAAAAAACACAAATGAAAATAAATTATACTTGATAGCCTAGTCAATTAATGTAGATTACACTACATTATTCTGGAAGAGTAGTGCAGTATTTTATGGTTACGAATGTTAAATGAATGAATAGCAGAACAAAACATGTATATTGATGTTTCTTCCTATTCAAGGTTACAAAAATCAGTTGCTGAATACAGTCAGAAACATTGTCTTCAGGTGGAATACCTCTGTGCCACAGTAGGACTGATGCACATTTCATTACTAGCCCCTTTATTGGCCCCAGTGTGTAGGACATGTGGGTGTGTCTTAGGCGGTCTTAGGGGAGTCAAGGTAAGAAGGAGCTCTCTGATTGGTTATTATGGGAGACATAAGCAGGTTGCAGCCCATTTGTGACTGCTAATCAGAGATTGTCTTGTCGGTTCAATAAAAGCTGTTATTCTTAGCGCAAACAACGAAACCAGTCCCCTTTTTTTGGCCTCCTAGATGTTGTATTCTTTCAACTTTGCTTTTTTCACAAAGGATGTGGCACAGGGCACGAGATATTTGCATGGCCCATTTTGAAAGGCTGAGTCTGTGATGGTAGTGGTTATCTGAACCTGAAGTCTGTGTTATTGTTAAATAATAATAATAACATCCAATCTTGACTTCGACTAGGTTACTAGGTTAGTATTATTACATACCAGAAGCTCTGTTTATGCTGGGATGGGGCTACTTTTTTGTGTGAAGAATATAATATCCCCAATATAATGTATTGACTTATATGTATGTAAAAAATCCCATAGATACCTTTGGCTCATTTTTATAGCTTATTTTCTCACCATGGAAAAACATATTATAAGCCATTAATTTGGAATGCAAAGGTTATTGCACTATGCTAAGATGACAACAGCAAACACAATGCATAAATTAATGTATTTTTGAAGCTAGGGGATTAATGTGATACACAACATGCTGCGACTTTATTATTCTGTGTTCTCATTACCTGCTGTTCTTCTTTCAGTCCTGTTTGCTATTTTTTTAAAGAGCTTGAAACAAAATTAGGTCATGTAATTGTTACTTCTAGAACCTCATACAGATGGGTTAGGGTCTAAAAGTTCTACCAAGATATTCTCAGTGATTTTGTGTGTCTAAGAGAAAGAACCCTGGGTGATTAATTGAAAGAAAAACGTAAAAAGGATACATATACTACAGATACAATCCATTGAATGTAGTGTATTTTGGAGTAATATAGTTTAATTTAAGTGAGACTTATTGATAATGTCTTGCAAACCTTGCAGTACAATATAGCATTAGTAAAGACACACTTTAATTGTCACAAAAAGACAGGGATCTCTGTTCCTGAACTGTTCTGAATCAGTTCTATTTATAGAACGTTCACACCACAGTGAACAGCATTAGGAAAGGGAATAATTGATTCTTACATATCCCATTTTTTACCTGCTGCCTTATCCCAGATGGAATATTGTTACAATACTGACTATAGTTACAATCTGCACATGAAACATTTATTAATATGCACCAGAACTCTTTCCATCCTTTCTATACTAACTTGAGGAGCCTCATTTGCTACAAGTGTTTCAGTGGAAATGGGATGTTCACTCCACTATGTCTTTGATTAAAAACGTAGATGAAGTCCTTCTCTGTTTCCTTATCTCTCACTCTTTGAATTTTTTTTGTACAGTGTGTAACGTCTTGCGGGCACTATTGTGTCCTGTCAGAAGGAATGAACTTCCTGGCAGAGTTCTCCTGTTTTTCTTGGCAAGCCAGCAAGCTGTGTCTCAAATCCATTTTCCTGTAGCCTTAGAAACTCCTTGTTTCGCTGTAGCTGTTCAAACAGATTTTTAATGTAGTGATCAGCAGAGTTCTAGGGCAATTATATCCTGCCTGAAACTTTTCTGTTATTCTCTCTCTATATATATATTTTAAATAGCAGATGGATTCTCTTTCTGATTAAAATGTACAGAAGATTCTTACATATCTCTCAGATTAATTGGTTTTTAAGCACCTTTTAACAGTCGTATTTTAGCAATAAAGTACAAGTTAAAATATTTGAAAGTAATTATATATTATATATTTATAATTATAAAACTATATATATGTCTCTTCTATGCAATCTAAGACCAGCAACATTTCTGAAATTAATAATACAGGGAAAAGTTCAAGAATTGGTGAGGTGACATATTTTATGATTTCATAATTAATTGTAGAAATTCTTGAGTGTTTTACAACTTTAGATTACATGGAGTATTTCAGTTTATCTTAACATTTATAGTCGTCTTCATTCAGGTAGGTCTTTTGAGATTATGTTAACCCATTGCATCAACGGAGCTAGTTTAACAAAGTGTCCCTATTTCCTGTAAAAGATTATAAAAGCACTATTTTATTAATACAGATATGTATAAATCGTGACTCTACCTTTGTATGACAGCATTATCCATCATACATTAATTCACGTTTATTTGTCATAATTACAAATCTTGGTCAGTAAAGTTTTAGTTTTCCTCTTAATTTGACATTTCTAACACATACCCATTTGCGTTGTTTTGCTTTGAGACACAGGTAATGAAACGTTTTTTTAGGAGTACTTACAGGAAAAAAAAACATTAAAACAGATCTGGTCAACACCTGTAGTGTCAATACCTGTAGGTGAAAATTTTAGCTGTCATTTCAGGATGTACAGTAAACCACTCCACATGGGTATATTGAATTGATCAAACATCAGTAACCTCAAGTTAGGCATCATTGTTTCCCCGGTTTGGAAGAACGGCAGCAGTATTATTGACTTGCAGCTACAACATTGTGGTTTTATCAGCTAATACACCCCAGCAGGTATCTGTCCACTAGGCTAATTGATCTCAGCATGGGTTCATCTTACTTAGGTTTAAATCCCTTTGTAAGCTTTTAAAGTTTCTGAAATCAATTTACCTCAGGAGATTAAGCTTGTGCCAAACCTAGGCCTTTAGTTTTTGTAATATTGCTTTTGTCATTCATTTTAATCTGCATCTTAATGATTTTATATCGACTTAAAATTCTGTTTTGTGTTACACTGGGAAACACACGTCCCATTCCGTCCCATTTCCATCTCGGGGAAAGGTCGCCGTGATTAAAATGTTATGAAAGGCGAAAGCAGGAGAATTAGCAAGTGTTGAAAGGAAGGAATGATCTGAAGCTGGGCTGTACATACAACACAGAAAGACAGCAATTATTATTTCACATGAAGCAAGCATAATGTAGGAAACAACAATTCAAACAGATTTCAGTTCTCTGATGCTACAACAATTTAAGTCATAGGAAGATAAAAGAGTATAATTTTATATATTACATTATATGTGTATATTCAGACAATACAAGTCGGGTGCAGTAAATTAAAGGTAGTTAAAGTCACAAACAAAATGTCAAATGAGTTTTTTTGTCTACAAACAGTGGCAAAATCAGTCATCATTATACTCATTTAAACACATGGACTCAAAACTCTGTTTGGGTATCAACAAAAGGATTTTTGATTTAAAAGTGTTTTGAGGCTTTGAACTCAGAAATGCAGACCTGTCCATCAACACAGGGATGACCAAAGTATCATTAAATAAAGATCAATTAAAGGTGAAACAGAACTCAATTGGGGTGGCAGGGTGACATGGAGGTTAGTGCTGATGTCTCATAATATCTAGCTTCAATTCTGCCAGTGTGCAACGTGTGTGGACCTTCTAAGTTCTCTGTGTTTGAGTGGGTTTTTGCAGGACACAAAAGGGGTCAATCAAGGGTAATTGACATTTCTAAGTTGTCCTTTTGAAAACACGCATTTTGGCATCCACATCCTTGTATTGGTTGAAGAGGTTATTGAACATTAATAGAAGGAAGAATTCAATTGTTTCAGGCATTGTTACTTTCTCCTCACTGCTGTATTTATTTACACTCCTGTGCTTTCTGAGATAGAGGCACACACTTAAATATCTTGAGAATTCTTACAAGCAATCCTAATAAATTCCAACGTTTTAAATTATCAGAGAAAGCCTTCCAACCATGAAGACAACTCCCTCTTGAAAACAACGTGATTTTTTACAGCTTACCGTACCTTTCAAAAACACTCCTTGCCTTAAAGATATGATAAAGGATTAACTGAGTCAGTAACAGGAATTTAAACCACATATTTAGTTTCAAAATTAAAGAGTGTTGATTATCCAAGTCTCCTGCGACATTTGTAGTGTTCAACGGATTGAATTTACCCTATAAATTGTTTTCGAAGCCTTCTCCTAATGGACTTCAGTCTGACATTTCTGTGTTATAAGCTCTTCTGTACCTTGCCAAGTTCCATTCAGATTCTGGGTGTATTGATGGGCTGAAGAGTCTTATTTGATTTTAATTGCTCTAATTAACCACTGAAATGAGGTCAATAATGAGTCAACAGTTTTACGAGAATGTCCATTTAAGATTTAATGTAGCAGAGTGAGCACGAATACAGTACGCCTGTATCTAACTGTGCCTGTTGGTGGCTGGTACTGATTAGTGCATTGAAAGTGCAAGCTAACGTGTTGGAGTTCGTAGGTACTCGACCTGCTCCGGGAATGGGCTGGTGGCTGGAATCCAAAGCCAGTACTTCGGTGAAGTCCTAGACCGCGAGTGGCAGTTTTACTGCTGTAGATACAGTCGCAGATGCCCTTATTCATGTTGGTAAGTATATCTAGTGTGAGTGCATGCTCTTACCCTGAGAAATGTAGTTATTTTGAGGCAATACTTTATTGTTTTCCTGTAACAGAAATAGTAGTTTCAGCCTTCAGCTTTAATGTACTTTAATGTAGATGAATATTTCTGTTTACTTCACAAAATATGAATATTTCTGTTTACTCCACAAAAGTGGCTATGAAGCCATAGAAAATATTTATCAATATTTCTTGTCTCTCAAAGAGACGTTGCTAGATACATAATGCCAAATATTCCCTTTGTCTTTCTTAAAGGATGACCAATGATGTCCCTTCGTACTACAAAGAAGAGGCAGATATGGTCATTCAGAACTACGGCTACTTTATCAGGGGGGCAGCCACTACATTCAGCGGTGTTCTCAGGTCAGCTGGGCATCTAAAAAATCTGCCTTCTGATATTGAACAGCTGTATTCATTTTTTTAGAAACCTACCTGATAAAAATTATCCTAATAAAAGGATTCCTTGATGAGAAAAACATACAGTACTTTGCTTTAGCTTTTTAAAGTGCAAGGACTTGTTTTTGGAGGGTTTTTTTTTGCACTTATTATGAGCTTGTATTCATCTCCCATTGTGCAGGTACAGTGGCTGAACACAGCTGTCATGTGCAGGAAATCCATTGTTTTTTCAATCACATGTTAGTGGGAGGGATAGACTTTTCATTGCCTGGAAGTCTTCCAAAGCAATAGAATTAAGCCTTGTGTAGCATCTGTCAGTTCTTATTAACCTACTATTTTCAAAGCAGAAACATTAAATAAGAACAGCCATAGCACAGTTAAAAAAATGCAAAACGGTGTCCACAGAGCATACTTACATTTCAGTAGGGTTACTCATCTGACTTTACATTTTTTGGTTTAAATTATAGGAAGGCATATGAAGTTATTGAACTCTAGGTTTTGCTTATATTTAATAGAAATAGTGAATATTACAGGATTGTCCTCCACTTTAAAGAAATTGAATATCTGCATTGTGCAATTGTATACAACTTTAAAACCATTGAAAAGAAACACATCCATTTGGATTCCATTAATGAGTATCTTTTGCATGTGTGTTTTATTTCAGAGATCGAAAATGGAAGTACATTTTATGCAGGATGACAGAGTTCGACTGTGATTTTGAAAACTTTTAGAAGCCTCCTCTTATTATAGACTTACATTGTTGAAATTGTTTCAGCATGTATTGGAAATACAGTATTTTTTCAGCCTTCATGACATACTAGATTTCTAACAGTTGAAATCATCAGTTAAGTCCTGTTCTTGTAATTTGAGTATAAACACTATCTGTAATCTACGTTTTTTTTCCTCATCTCAACATCTGGCTCTGTTCTTTAATCACCAATAACAAATATGAGACGTTCGTTTTTTTTAACTCTTCACTTTAGTTAAATGTCTTGGCCTTTTCATGTAACTTTTCACTTGTTGTGCTCAGTGAAGTTCCTATTGTTCACTACTTCCTGAACCTACCAGTAAATCAAATCAATACAGCACTGCATACTGTATTGTCTCTACTTCAAATTTCAAAACCCAGAGAATGCTTTTAGACAATGGACTTATGGACAAAGGACAAAGCAGCTCTTCAATAACCTATATATGTTTTAAAATAGTGGATGTTAGAATTAGTGGGACACTCAACTCCTTCAACCCAGAAAGCTGTGGAGTCCGTAGACACACATTCAGAAATTTGTACCTGCCCTGCTGAAAACATTTTCCTCTTGCAGAGTAAGCCTTTTCCATGGAGATCTGCCATTATCAGTACAGTATAGAGTTCTAAACACACTTCCTGTCAGTACTGTGCCATAATTTTGGATTTTATCCCTGTTAAGACCTTTAAACTATTTATCCATATGAAAATATATACTTCAAAGCATGAAATCAATAATTAGTCTTTCATAGGGACTATAACTTTTTTAGTTATTATTTAGCATTTACAGATGAAATACTTTGTGTAGCATAATACATTTAATATACAATATGTCATGGGACAAGACAATTTCAAGTCCCGGCAATTTCTCACACCCTTAAAATTGTAAATTATGTGATTACCAAACAGTTGTTAATGTATTTTGACATAATTCCACATAAGTAGATGTTTTTAAAAGCCCACTTTTTATGATATGTTGTAAAGTAAAATTACTTTCCTACTCTTTCTCAGTTACTTCTAAACTGAATATGCTTGTACAAGTTTAGGCTAAACATTTTTTGTTATGTTCTTTGGTCACATTTCACACTTGAAATCTCCCTTTCTTTATACCTGTCTTGATGAATTACCTCAATGCAATTGTGTGTCTATTCTATATTTTTCACTGCCTACCTTATGTCATCCTTGTATTACTTTGTTGGTCTTCTAGAAAGAAAAAAACGTTTTTGATGTAGTCTTCAGAATTCCTGGCAGCCATCAGTAATAAAAATGTTACTGTAATTGTTGTTTCTTTGTGAATTCTTAAACTCTTAAAAGTGTCAGCTTTTGATAAAACAAAATGTAATATTACAGATATGAGGACCGCAGATAACAAACAATCTAAAAAACCACGACGGAAACAGGATTTCCTTATTTTTTTAATTCATTCTTAATGCTTCCCCAAAGGTACGTTCTTTGTTATATTATTTCATTTACCTTTATTACTGTAACCACAGTGTAAATCTGTACAGTATGTAGACCATTATCTTTACATATTACATATTTAATGTATGGTCTGATCTAAAACATTTAGGTAAGATAATGAAAAATAAATATTTTCTTTGATTATTTGTTTAGGAAGAACAAAACATAAAGATAACATATTAAATTGATTCATGTTATAATAATTTTAAAAATCACATTGGTGGAAAAACCTAAATATTACGTATTTTGACATCTGTAATATTGTAACCTGTTTTCCAGCAAAGTTTATCAATTTAATCTGTGCCAACAATGTTTAAACACCATTAAGTTAATTGCCAAAATCCTACTGTTTTGGGATTTTGCTTTAGGCAAAGATATATTCTATATTTTATTCAAAATAATCTTTATAAATTATATTTGATGCTACAGTTATCATACATTAACTTTATAATGTAGAATATTACAGTAGAATTGGTTTACTATTCAGCAAAAAAAACTAATGAGTCCACATTTACAGTAACTGCACCTAGAGGATTGTTGTGATGTGATCTATGTGTTTTTGATATTATTGTATCCCTTTGACAAAGTACTTTTTCTGCCTTCACTGTCTGTCCTCAATCCACCTAAGACAAACATTCCTTGTTTCAGAAATAATTATTAGTTCTAGTTGCTTATAGAACATTGGCTCAATAACTATGAGTTTAAGTTTAAGAGAAAGGAAGGATGAAGTCTAAATAACAATAAAAACTTATTTGCACCTGTTAGTTGCATCCTGTGAAGAAAACGCTGCTATCCTTTCACCTTGATATCATACCATAATGCCATAATACCAAATATGTCTCTAAAAGTCAAAATCATTTAACACACTTTTTGAGATGTGCAATCATATCTTTTATTCTTTTTTTCTTTTCAGAAATTCTGGAGAGAAAAATGATAGCTGTTAAACACTGTAGCTCAAGCTTTCATGAGAAAATGAAATGGTTTCATAGTTTCCATGGCTAAACATTGTGACGTGCCTATCTAAATGACATTATTTTTAAAATAAGGAAAACTTTCTTTTAGGTTCAGTGCATCACTCATCTGTATTTGCTTTGTGTGCCTATGCATTTGATAACTGAGGTGCATTTGCTTAGAGGCACGTACTGTTGAGTTCTTCTGTGAATGTCCTTCAAACTTGAGTCATTGCTTCGGAAATTAAGTACTGTATATTGCGCTTGAAAAAGCACTTAGGTTACCGCCTCTGTACGTTGTATGGAATGGGATGAATTCTTATCTTTGAGTCCGAAAGAGCATCTTTAATTTGCGTAACAGATACCAGTCTGCCTATGATTAAGGGTAGATAATGTTTTAGACCATTCTCAATGTGCTGTGTGTCCCTACCTTGACAGACATTTGCCATGTTATTCCAAAATAAAAAGAGTGACAAGCTGAATCCTATGCACTGCCCACAACAGTATACGCACACAGACACACATCCAGAGAAGCATCTGGTAAATTACATTTCCATTGAAGAATTTCCAAGTTCACAAGAATGATACAATTGCACCACACTATCCCTTGTGTGAGCTCTAATGTGCAAAAAGTAATTATTAGTTTGTGGGGTGTTTCGGTTTGAATTAGCCTAACTCACAAAATGTTAAGGAAAAAAAAGTCTGTGGGAAACATGAGAACTATGTGATGTGGCAGTGTTCTGGCAAAAAACGTAGCCCTGACTGGGACTGTGTGTGTAAAACCATCCTAGGTGATGAGGAACTAAAGAGCAGCCAGGGCATTACACAAATACCTTAGTCCAGCTGAAGCTCGTAAAACAAAGAAAGACTTTTCTTCTCATTAGGTAAGTCAACTTTAAAGTCACTTAGCAAACCACATTTTTCATGTAAATCTATTTCTTACCACAGCACTAACACATGTAAGCAGTGATACATAGAAAGTTCATTAAGATTTATTCTGTACCAGATGTGTGCCTATTTGTCACTAAATTTGTACAATGAACTCATACTTTAAATCTTTGTTTCTAGATTTAATTTAATGCTAAATCTTATTTTTTCTAAACTTAATTTTTTTTCTCATCTATATATATCTTTTAAAAATCATATTTATTTTATGTAATTAATGCTGTATAGTATATTTGAATAAGCCATTTAGTGATCTTGGAGTATTAAAAAAGCAGGAAGATTACCTTGTGATATTAAGCTTTAATTTAAATTAGATTAAATTCAGGTGGATGCTGCACATTGGTGGTGGTGGTGGGGAGTCCCCATTACCTGTAAAGCGCTTTGAGTGGAGTGTCCAGAAAAGCGCTATATAAGTGTAAGCAATTATTATTATTATTATTATTATTAT